TGAGAAATCTATTACAGATTTATCACCCAGTTAGTACCTTTACAGCTACCAGTCCTGGCGAGAGATGTCGCTATTCACTGTATTAATTAAATTTTTATTGAATTGATATTCAATTATTTTTATTTTTATTTTAGATTATTAAGTCGCTTTAGTATGGTTACCCTGTATGCAGTATTGAATCATAATTTTTGTTGAAACTTCAAAATTACCATTACAGATACTTAACGAAAAGACGAGTAAGTCGGTGTGCGCGTTGTCCTAAATACTATAATTAAAATGATGAAGATATTTCTAAACCTTGTGATATTGTGCACTGCATTGGGTCCAACTTCAGGTAAGACAAATTATAGTAGAAGTGCCATAAGCATACGCTGCCTAATGTAAGAAATGTAGAAACCGATATTAAACTTAATAATGAACAATTGGATTTAAGGGACACCACTGTCTTTTTGAGAATAAAATTGGACTTAAAACTTCAGCGGAATCCACATATTTCGACACTAGCTGGAAAGCTTAGTTCTGCTGCTTATGCCATACGAAAAGTAAGGCAACTTACTGACGTCGAGACAGCCAGAACCGTTTACTTAATACGGTATTTTATTGTGAGGCGCCGCTTCGAATATCGGAACAATTTTTATTTTGCAGAAGCGTACGATTAGAGCTGTCTGTAAAATAATCTCACATACCTCAGGGATATTTTCAAGGAAATTGGCATATTGACCAATGCATCATAGTTTATTTACAAAATTGTATACTTTTTGTGCGACTGAATAATGAATTGTGTAATAAACAACGTGCATAATTTTAATACTGGACATAAATGGAAGCTCGTTAAGTTAAGACTTCAGAGAGTTCTCGGTTCTTTTGTGGAGCAAGTAATATAAGATTCCGAAAGCTGTTTTGGATGTATCCTTAAATAAGTTCAAAAATCATGTAAAGGCAACTCTACTGTAGAGAGGATATTACTCTGTTAGGGATTATATAAACGATAAGACAGTTTGGTTGTAAAATTTGTGTAAATGTGACGATTTTAAATATTATTTGCTTGCTTACCATATGAAGATAATTCTGATTAGACGTTGCATCGATTACTGTTGTCATAGTGTGTGGTGACCGTTGGCGACAGCGATTTTGACCGTTGACGCCAAAGGTCACACTATCATAATTTATACACTATGAAATGTGGATTGGTCGTAGTTTACTAATTTAGAAAGAGGTACCAAATTCAGGACTATTAATATAATTTAAATTTTAACTATACCCAGTTGGCATATCGTTGGTTCACTTACAGTTATTACAATGTAACATACTATAAACTCAATTTGGTGAAGTTCTTATCAAAATTGCACAACTACTTATGAGTGAACACAGTTTGTAAAAACAATGTAAAATGTAAATAATATAGAATTTAAAATCAGCAACTTGAATTAAAAAAAGAGAAATATAATACAAACAAAACCAATAAATACAAGTGAACAAGGGTCTCAGACAGCGTCGAACTAGATGGCGGAAAAAAAATTAAGGTTTAACATAATACTAATGCGAAATGTGTGCAGCGATAAAAATAGACCACATTGCAAGGGTATAAGGTTTACTTTTGTTTCTTATAACAAAAAATTGTGAACTACACAAAATAAGGCATTTCTCTACCATTTTCGAGGTATAGCGTGAGATTATTGACATGACAATGATCAAAACTAACATGGCGGACTGACCTCAAGTATACGGAACTACTCGTACTGTTGGCATACGTGCTACGCCCACTAAGCACTTCTATTGTATTTATTGTTTGGTGATACATGCAGTTAATCTGTGAAGTCGTTATCCAAGACCTCGACTGCATTAAAACTGCGTACAGTCGATCTTGGCTGCATGAAGTCGGTTTCATCTGCATGCGGTTAATGCATAAAGTCGTTATCAATTATCGTGTATGGAGTACTGCTACTATTTTTGGGATCTCTGCTAAATACCAACTGGCCACCTTGGATTGGAGAATCGACAAGCGTGCCAAGTGCATTATAGGTGACGACATGTCGTAAAGTTGCCTGCTTATCAGTATTCTAGGGTATATCACGGAGAGTGTGCCATGGAAGTGCATGATTTGATACCGCTTTACCCTTTCCATGATCGAGGGACTAGACGTGTGCTGGGGTTTCAGCCCTGTTCTGTATATTCCGCTTGTTGTACGCTTCCACATTTATATGGCGAACGGCTGTGGAGTGGAATTCCCTGCCGTCGATCTCAGCGTCACTTTTCATCAGATGAGGTAGAGGTCAAGTGCGCATTTATTTTTTGTATTAAAAAAACTTGCGAGAGAGAGATCACGACTGCATGAAGTTTTTATTTTATTACGACTTCGCACATTAACTGCAAGCAATGCAGTCAATCTGTTAGCAGCCTTAGAAAATCGAAACACAGTAATTAGCCAACAAAACGAAATCGAAACTTTATGAATGTGTAAGAAAGTGAGATTGTAACAAATGTTAGAGGCCATTTGTCTCCCAAACAGCGTCGCTTTGTATTTTTGCAACTTTTCTTCAATCGCACATCTACCTGTTGACGTAGCGATTATGGTAACCAGTCTTCTAAGCGTTGAGATGCGTGATATGTATCGTTCTATATTAATTGTGTGTGTTCTTGAAGTTTTGAACATGGGTGTTCTGCAGGGAGACGTTTTCATGCCCTTATTGTTTTTTATTTACGAAGTCTATACAATAAGATCATGAAAATGTCTCCCTGCAGAACACCTATGTTCAATACTTGGACGCACACAGTTTAATAAAAAATTATGTGTATCACATTCCAACCTTTACAAGACCGTCTGACATAATCGCCACGTGTCGAATTTATCAATTTCTTCTATGTTTTATAGCACAAAATACAACAACCGATAAAAGATGTTTACAGATGTTTAAAGGTACGTATGAAAATAATTTTCTATTATAAACATAATTATGAGACAACCCGATATACATTGCTCTGATCCCAAAGTTAGTAACTAAAGCACTTGTGTTATGGAAATTGGAAACGACGACGGTACCACAAATGTCGAAAAGTTAGTACGACGCCAGTGCTGACAGACATATAGACTAGAAAGAGAGTCAACGTCAAACATTGACTTACAAATAAATGGACGACGGGTCTAATACAAAAACCACGAAAAAAATGTCCCAAGTCAACCTATTCGAAATTTAAATTGTAATGTCATCGCAGTATCGCGCTGTCAGTAGAACAAATGAAGACTAAAGCGGAGTTTGTAGCGCTCTGTATACGATCTTAGCGCCTTATAAGTGCGGACACTTTTTAGCGCGGACCCGACGTCCATATAATTGTAAGTCAATGACGTCAAAGTTAAATAAATCATTTATTCCATAGGTAAAATTTTTACACTTGACAATGTCATTTTTTAAACTACTGCTTCTTCACTACGCTGACTTCCCTGAAAAGAACGAGCAAGAAACTCCAGGGATTGTTCTTTTGAAATATACTTAAATGCTATAGAATATACTTCGAATCAAATTGGTGTGTAATCTAAACTCATGTCGTCTTTCCATACAGCTTTATTAAGCGACTTCAAAAAAGGAGGAGGTTCTCAATTCGACTGTATGTTCTTTTTTTTTGTATATATGTTACGCGATAACTCCGGTATTTGTGAACCGATTTTCATGATTCTTTTTTTATTGGAAAGGGGGTACTTTCATAGTGGTCCCATTTTATTTTGAAGATCATCCACCTCTAAAGGTGGTTCACGCGTGAAGATTCATTTTTATAAATAGCGCCTAAACTTTAATTTCAGACCAATTATTTTATTGGTTAATTTTGCTATTTCTCCAATTCAAGGCGTTTTTCTCTTAATATACTTTGAGTAGTGAGAACCGATTTTTATTATCTCTAGTGTCAAGTCCTGTATAGTGACGAACTAGGGGATATTTCAATAAAACTTAGCAAATAGACGTAATTCCACGTACTTTTGAGGTCGGTTTTTTTAGTACTCTGTCTGAGATTATCTAACACATACTCTTTAATTTTGTAATATGACTTTTCAATTAAAATACTTTTTATTTAATTTTTAAACTTAGGAAATCTTAATATATTCTCCGGTATCTTATTGTAAAAACGTTATAGTTCCCAATAAAATAATATTTTACCTTAGTTATACGACGATGGTACCACGAGTTCGGACTTAGTTCTAAGGTTAATATTATGGATATTTTCTTAATGGAATTATTTATATTTTTACGGGCATACAAAATACTCGAGTAAATGTACTGTGATACCACAGTCATAATACCAGTCCCCTTAAACTCTTCTCTGAGAGAAACCCGAGAAACTAAACGGTACACAGAACGAATCACAAAACACAAATATGGATTGTATAGCTGCCACTTTACCCCACATGAGAATGCCGTAGGAAATTATACTATGGAAGTAACGAAAGTAAACTAGTATTATAGTACTAACATCGGTAAGGTCAAGTATTCTGCGGACTGCGTATGCAGCGGCATTGTCGGGTTTCTCTAAGAGAAAAGATTAAGAAGACTAGTATCATGACTGTGGCATCACAGTACATTTACTCAAATATTTTATATGCCCGTAAAAGTATACACAATTTCATTAAGACAGAAGATATCCGTAATATTAACCTTAGAGCTAAGTCCACACTCATGGCACCACGATTTCGTTTAACCAAGGTCGACTCTTTTATGGGGAACTGTATACGTTTTTACAATAAGATTCCCGAGCATATATTACGATTAAAATTTCCTAAGTTTAAAAACTGCATTAAAAATATTTTAATTGAAAAGTCATATTACCAAATTGAAGACTACGTGATAGATATCTATAGATATAGATATAGCTTAAAAGTGACGTTTCATAATTATGTAAATTTATTTTACCTATGGAATAAATGATCCTTTAAGTTCACTTGATTTGACTTGTATATTTTATCACCATGCTTTTGAGCCAAACTGCCCAACTCTAAATATATTTATTTACAGACTTTAGTCTTAGTGGTCTACCGGAGATCAGAAATTGGAGTTACGAAAATTATTACGGCGTCCATGAATGCAAAGGAATTTGGAAATACAATTCACCACAACCAGTGAAAGTGGGATGTCATAGAACAACAGGATACTTTCCTTATATCCATATGTTCCTACGTACATCTAGTGGTAAATATATAAATTAAGATGACAGGTGCTATAGGTGGTGAAGTCATTTGTGTAGCTTGGTTACCATCGCCCTGAATATCTCCACTTGAATTGAAAAGCGAACCCATTCACAGACTCGGAAGACATGATCGCACTTCGGGACGCTTTGGATTATATAGGATATCACAATGTTAATATAAAAGTCTTTCCGCGAAAGATTATTAATATTTGTGTATAGGTTCAAGTTTATTTATTATATACATTTATACAATTTCCTAATTGCCAAATAAAAGAGAAAAAAATTACTTCATGTTTTTGAAAAAGGACTGTTTTCTCCAGGTGGCCTACCATAACCTTTTGCAAAAACAATCTTATTTCAATGTAAGCATAAAGTAAGCTTATTATAATATTACCCATATTCGTACCATGACAAACCTGTCAACCAAGTAATTTATTATTGCTAAAGTGATTGAAAGAACGAATGATTTCCCAGTATTGTGTGTTCCTTACTAAAAATAGGAAAGAGATAACGCTATTTCAAATATAAAATGCCATCTCTTTCTTTTTTGATGTTCCGAATCGTCTTATCGTAGTATAATGTTTAAGTACTTAATGTTATTTACATTCAGAGAATTTTGACTGTTAAAAAAGAAAAGTATGTAATAATAAAATCTATTAAAATTACGTAGTTTTCGATAATTATTCCGCATTTTATGAAGAAAAATAAATAAAACAAGCTGAGTCTTGATAGTCACATTGTGAATTCGGAACTATAGTCTAGTGTCAACTGTAAGTTTCGCCAAGGAGCATAGATGGCGCTGTTGGTACTTGGTACTTGGTACTTGGTGCAACGGGCTGGTATCCGCAACTCGACGACAAAGCGCCTATTTTGCGTGTGGTGGGTGCAGGGTCCTACTCGTGCCACCCAAGCTCCTCCAGGAATCTCAGCAGCCTCCTTGGTTTGCTGAAGACTTCGGGGAGCGACCTTGGCACTCCAAGGTATTTTGCCCTGTAGTTGGCCACGCCGGAGCACTGAAGTAGGATGTGCGCAGCCGTTTCCTCCCCCTCCATGCACGCTCTGCATAGAGGGCTGTCTGTGATACCTAAATTGAAAAGGTGTTTATTGTATGGACCATGACCCGTTAGGGCGGCAGTTAGAGTGCGAAGCTCTTGCCTTTTAAGTTTAATTAGTATTCGAGATAGACTGGCGTTGAGCGTTGGGAGTGCTTCCCTCGCCTGTCTACAAACCGTAAGGGTGGTCCATGTATTATTATGTAAAGATTTTGTACCTTTGTGTATAGTTGTTCTGGACCATTGGCAGGGGAGGGACACTATCGGTTCTGGTCCTACAGCGTCCGTCTCCGACCCTTTCCTGGCTAGTTCATCTGCTGCGTCATTGCCACGTGAGCCGCTGTGTCCTTTAATCCACTGAAGAGTTACGTGGTTTTGTATACATACCTCCATGAGTGCTTGATGGCATTCGTAAATGAGCCCTGAGTTTATGTCATAGCTATTCAGTGCTTGAAGTACTGACATACTGTCGGAGAGTATTCGAATGGAGTAGTTCTTTACTCTTCTCGCTATGATTGCTTCTGCCGCCAACTTGATGCCCATGCATTCAGCCTGGAATACTGTGTTGTGGTCACCAAGCGGTGCTGATATCCTGATATTGAGGTCTTCTGAGAATACCCCAGTACCTGTTCCTGAGTTTGTTTTAGATCCATCTGTGAAGACTCGGACCTCTCTGGGGTTTAGTCCTTCGTTGGGATCTTCAAATAATTGTATCTTGTATTTCTTGTCAAAGATGTATTGTTTTGGGATCCTATCCACAACCGCCTCCAGTAGCGGTTCCTCATTTACAATCTTGTAAAGGATTTCTGTATGTGGGGTCCTCATGTGCTTCCAGAGGCCGGCTCTGTTTAGACGCACTGCTGTTGACGCCGCTTCCTGTCTGATGAACAGTGGGAGGGGTCGAAGGTCCAGCATCGCTTCGAGGGCCGCAGTTGGAGTTGTCCTCATGCAGCCCGTCGTCGCCATGCACGCTAGTCTTTGGAATTTGTCCAGTTTGTCGGTTGCGGTCGTCAGCTTGGTTCGTGGCCACCATACTATCGCGCCGTAACTGATCATGGGTCTTATCACCGCAGTGTAGAGCCATAGTGTAATCTTGGGTGAAAGTCCCCATTGTTTACCCACCATTCTATGGCACTGCCAGAAGGTGATAGTGGCTTTTTTAATTTTGTTGTCCATATGTTTGTTCCAGTTCAACTTGTTGTCCAGTATTACTCCCAAGTACTTGACTTCGGTTGATATCTGTAGTTCTGTGCTGAAGAGTTTGGGTAATCGGTAGTTACCTAGTAGTCGTTTGTTGGTAAACATTACTAGTTCCGTCTTTGTTGGATTTACCGATAGTTCATATGCTCTGCACCATCTTTCCACAATTCGGAGAGCCGCTTGTGTAATGTCGCAGAGTGTATTGGCATAGTTTCCTGTTACCAGTATAGCTATGTCATCAGCATATCCTATTGTATAGAAATGTTCTTTGTTGAGTTTAATGATAAGGTCATTTACGACCATGTTCCACAGCAGAGGCGACAATACCCCTCCTTGAGGGCATCCCTTCGCTACTATGGCCCATGGGGTCTCATTTGCTGTTGTTTTTATTGTTCTTTGTTTCAGCATGTTGCTAATCCAGCTAATTAGCACTTCATCTACGTTGTGTCTTCTCATTGCTGATTGTATGCTGGAGAAGTTCGTTTTATCGAAGGCTCCTTCAATATCTATAAAGGTGCCTAGGCAGATTGCTTTGTCTTTAAGGGCCACTTCTATCTTGCCCACAACGGCATGTAGGGCCGATTCAGTGGATTTGCCTTGGCTGTATGCATGTTGGTTACCGTGTAATGGAATGTTCTTAAGCGCTCCATCCCTCAGTTGTCTGTCACATATCCTTTCTAAAGTCTTCAAGAAGAACGATGTGAGGCTGATTGGTCTGAAGGACTTCGCGTCAGTGTAGTCGGGTTTTCCTGGTTTCGGTATAAATATGACTTTTACCTCTCGCCAGCTATGGGGCACATAGCTGAATGCTAGACAGGCCCGAAAGATGTTGACCAGGTGCTGGACCAGTGTGTCCCCGCCCCATTGTAGGAGTGCAGGGAATACTCCATCTTGGCCCGGAGCTTTGTATGGTTCAAATGTGTTTACTGCCCATTTTGTCTTTTCGTATGTCACTACTTGTTCTGCGTATCGCCAGTTATGGATCGATGTGGTGTAGTTCATTTCTACACACCTGTCGTCTTGGACGAACCTACATCCTGGGAAATGTACTTCCAGTAGGGTTCTTTCCGTTTCCGCAGGGGAAGTTGTGTATGTGTTATCTATTTTGCGTATTGAACCTAGCTCAGTTGAATTTGAGTTGCCTAGGATTTTCCTTATTCTGTTTGCTTGTGCGCAAGACGTGATGTTCCCGCAGTAGCCTCGCCATGACGCGGTGCTCCTGAACCGTATGCGCTTTTTTAGTTTGGATTTGGCCGTCTTGTAGTTTTCCCAGTCCTCGTCCGCGCATGTGTTCATTGCTCTATTGAAGTGTCTCCTTACCCTTCTTCGTAGCCTCTCAAGCTCAGGTCCCCACCAGTGTCGACCTTGTCGCGGGGCTGCGTCACTCAGTGGGCATGCGGAGTTATAGCTGTTCAATATGTTTGATGTTAGTTCTTTAACCTGTGTTTCTATCTGTGCTGTGCCCAGTAGTCTTCCCGGTGCTCCCGGTTCTCCCAGGTTCTGGTGTAGTTTGTCCGCGTATAGTTTACGGTCGGTTTTTCTGGGATTCCGTTTCGGTTGTTGTTCTTTAATAGCTGTTTCTAAGCTGAATCTTATCCATCTGTGGTCCGAGAAAGATGCTTCTTCGGACACGTGCCAGTTGTGGATAAGGTCCACTGCTCCTTCTGACGCTAGGGTTAGGTCTATGATAGTTCTACATCTTTTATTTATAAAAGTTGGTACTATACCTTTATTAAGGATTTGAAGGTTAGTTGTGAATAAGTATTCTGTTAGGTTCTTACCTCTATCATTTGCGAGTTCCATGCCCCACAACGGATGGTGGGCATTGGAGTCAGTAGCCACGATGATAATCTGGCCGTTCTGCTCGCAGTAGTTGATTAGCTGAACCATTTCCTGTGGTGGTGGCACATCAGTCTCCGCCATATAGACAGAGGCGAGCACCACTTCAGGCAGACCCGTGGCCGCGTCTGCTAAAAGCTTTACGGCACACAGGTCTCTGGAACAGAATTCAGTTAGTGGCTGTACATGTAAGTTATTGGAGTAATATATGCAAGTTCTAGGTTTATCTGAGATGGTAGTCGATAATAGCTTACCTCTCAGATGTGAGAGTCCATTTATTTGGCCACGGGCACTAATCCACGGTTCCTGGATTAGTGCCATGGCTGTGTTGTTGGCCTCCAACCATTTCCGGAGCTGAACCGTTGCGGCCTGGCTGTGGTGGAGGTTGCTCTGGACGATGTGAAGTTTACTGAGCGAGGGGGAAACCGCCATCAGATGATAGCAGCTCCTCGTCCACGTCCTCGCTCAGTCGGATGTCTCCCATCCCCAACACGCACTCGTCGTCACTGCTGGTCGCCACCGGTTTGACAGCGGCGTCCGCAGAGACGGGGGTCGAGGAGGGCCCTTCACCTTCTCCGGGAATATTGGAGGAGGTGGAGGGCTCCGGGGAGACGTCCATCCGCGTCGTTGTTGTGCCCGTCTTCTCGGGTGGCACGTCTGTGTACAGGCCCCTCTTCGATCTAAACCTGAGGTAGACCGTGCCCAACTGGAAGGTTAGGCGCCGGCCATGCCCCAGGACAGCGGGGACGAGCTCTTCTGGGAGGCTCACCACTACAAAGGAGTTGCCACTATGCTGCTGCAGCCTGTGAACAACCCAGCGGTGTGCCTCCGCCCACGGGTTTTGCCACTTGAGGATGCGGCCGATTCGACGCGCATCCTCCCAGTGACCAGGGATGAGTAGTCCACAGACCACCCTCCGGGGAGCCTCCACCCCATTTTTCAATGAGAGGGGCTCCCCGGATGGCAGCCTGATGGTGCTAATAGCATCCTCTAGCCACTGGAAGGTGGCTGTGTCCTGACACCACAGTTTCAGGGACCCGTCACTGTAGACAGGTTTACCACGAAACTGTGGGCCGACGTCCTCCTCGCTGCACTCCTCCGCTCCTTGCGTGAGGCGCTGACATAGGGCCACCTGAACCATGTCGGCATCGGGGCTCCGTATGTAGCCAGTTTTGGCTGAAGTAATTACAGCCATGAGTTCGGGCCTGGTGGCCTCGGCGTAGGTGCGCTGCTGAGCGGGCCTCTCAACCTTTTGCCGCTTGTGCTCGCCTCTAGGAGATATGGTCTCGTCAAGGCGGGCACGTTTGGCAATGGTCGAGGACCTCTGCCTGCTCTCTCCCGGTTTGCTGTTGGAAGGGGGGGGGGCCCTTCCAGTGGGGTGCGCGACCGACCCATTTGACCGTGCTGATGCAGTCCCTGGGCCACTCGCGCCACCCACTGGGGGCCTCGCCTCTCCCTCCTTCGGCAGGGGGTTGTGTGAAGTGCGTCGCTCGCGTTCTCTACGACGGGCCTTCTTGTTTTTTCGGGCAGGGCGTCCCTTGCTCCCACTGGGGGCCGGAGGTGGGCGCTCGCCGTGGCCACTAGTCCCTTCCTTGCGGATGGGTGCCGTGGCCTTGGATTTGGGCTGGCGACTCACCAAGGTCCACCCTGCTTCAAGGGCCGCGTTTGATGGGTTTTGAGCGGGGGCCGCAGAACCTGGGGTTTGGGCCACAACCGCTGGTGTGGTGCTAGCACCAGCATCGGTGCTCGGCTGACCTTGGGGTTTCCCCTTTGGCCTACCACTCACCGTAGGGCGCTGTGTGTTCGTATTTGTTTGTGGGGCACTTTTGGGTTTCCCCTCGAGTACCGCCGGTTTTGGGTTTTGGGTTTTGGTTAAAAGTTGATCGTTTAAATCCATACTTAAAGTTCGAAAAATTCACTCTCCTGACTTCCCACCCACCACGGAGCCCGCACCTTTGGGGATGTCCCATTCGGGACACCAGGATTGTCAGGAGAGTATAGGTGCAGAAGTTGGGAGCTCACTGCGCGACATCGGGGGCTCGAAATGTGCGGCTGGCTGACCTGATCAAAGTCAGCCAGGTGTTCCGCACATACTCACCCCGTCAGCATGGCCGAGTCCGTCCCCCCCACACCTCGCCTGTGGCCCTCTGACGGGACACAATGCCATTTCCCTGTGTTGGCTAATCACAGGGCTACCGTTTAGCAGGAAATCAGGGCCAAAGGGGGCGTATTGCTTGCCGGAGTCCCCACCCCGCTCGGGCTCAACCCCCCAGGATTCCTTCATCCCTGCGTACGGCGCTCAACTGCGTAGGCATTAACGCAGGAGGGTGTAAGTTTAGACTGCCCACCACGTGCCATGGTCCACCCCCAGAAACGCATGGCCGGGCCGTGTTGATCGCTTCGCGCCCTCACTGACAATTCTCAGACTGAAGCTGAGGATTGTCAGTGTTGGCCCCAGGGTGTACCGGCTACGTCCTTGGGCGTTCTGTGATAACATGTTACCACAGACTGCTCAAAGACTTCGCACACGTGGAGGTGGAACAACTAACACACCCCCAGATGGCGCTGTTATAATTTCACGAAATGAACATCGCGTATTTTTATTTAACGAAAAATTATTTACTATGTGCTATACAATAAAAAAATAAACAAAATATTGAAGAGATATATGTAAATAAATAAGTTCAACTTAACTTTTAATCATTACAAATCAATATTAAGACAATAAAACTGAAAATAATATTGTTTCCTTTGCATCCGTGTAACTATTCCAAGATTACTAAATTTGACATAGAGTCATAGTACGAATTGAGTGAATGAATAGTCACAAAGCTGCCAATAAAACATCATAGTTTTAACATTATAAAAAGCTTACTTTAAGCGCGTCATGGTACGAAAAGTCAATGTAAGGTTAAAGTAATATTGTTTTATTGTTTCAGAACTAGTTCACAAAAAGTTTATCTCATTTTGAATTAAATAGATATCTTTTAATTGTTTCTTACAAATTTTAACGAAGATTTTATTGACTTGTAAAGAATAAAATTTTACGTCCAGCAACAGTATTATAATCTATAATTTCACATATTTTGAGTTACAACACTGTCGTAATAGCAGTGCTATATTTCCTTAATACCATTTTCCTTAAAGCGGTCTGTCGCCCTGTTTGTAGTGCTAGTACTGTAAAAATAAGGAATGTCTGTCTAAAACTAGGCATTTCGTACTATGAATACATAATAATAGCTCCAGAGCAGGATGTTTTAACCTGTGATCCATTGACCCCTGAGGGGTACGTGTAATGAAGCGACGGTCCTTGGTGAGCCTGCCTAACAGAATGCATTAATATAAAAATTGGTATACAATATGTTGTGAATAAATAGGTACTATGCGCGTGACCTTTTTGAATTTTCGCGCTCTTTGACGGCCATCGAGTATAGTTGAAGATTTTCTATTTCAGCATATACAGCAGCAATAATCACGCCAACTATTTGTATGTAAAGTTTAATAGCAAACAACAAAATCTAAATTGGTTCTGGTCTGTTTCCGTTATTCTCATACTCATAGTATAGGGATTTCCTTTGAGACCAAGCAATTGGTGAGGTCTGGAAAACAAATTTGAAGAGTTCCTTTCCTGATTGATCCAACTGATAATCATAGCGATAGGGAGTCACCAGATTTGCTAACACGGAATCAACTTGATCTGGTCAGATATAGCAAGTTTATGTAATTAGAGCGAATAACGTCGCGTGTTTAGCTTATATTTGGACCGCCGGCCGACGCAAAACGCTCAATATATTTTTCGCTTCTATTGTATGAACGGTACGTTTTTTCGTGTATGGTAACTACTGTAAGCAACTAATGACGCCATACCACTTCACAGCAGTTACTGGCGGCGGCGTTTAGCAGCGACGCAAACGCGCGTTTGCATCGCTACACTTGCGATTTATAGGCGATTGCGTCGATGCAAACGCGCGACTGCGTCGATACAAATGCGCAACTGCATCGATACAAACGCCCCTTTGCTTCGATACAAACGCGCGACTGTATCGCTACACTTGCGATTTATAAGCGACTGCATCGATACAAATGCGCGACTGCATCAATACAAACGCGCGACTGCATCGATACAAACGCGCGACTGCATCGATACAAACGCGCGACTGCATCAATACAAACACGCGACTGCATCGATACAAATGCGCAACTGCATCGATACAGGTGCCCGTTTGCTTCGATACAAACGCGCAACTGTATCGCTACACTTGCGATTTATAGGCGACTGCATCGATACAAACGCCCGTTTGCTTCGATACAAATGCGCGACTGCATCGATACAAACGCGCGACTTCATCGATACAAACGCCCGTTTGCTTCGATATAAATGCGCGACTGCATCGACGTAAAAGAGCAACTGCATCGATACAAACGCCCGTTTGCTTCGATACAAATACGCGACTGCATCGCTACAAACGCGCGTTTGCTTCGACACAAACGCGCGACTGCATCGATACAAACGCGCGACTGCATCGATACAAACGCGCGCCTGCACATTGTTTTGTTTTGTAAATGTAAAAGTTAAATATAGAAGCACATGAAATAAATAAATCGGTTAATTAATTAAAAACGTGCATCGCGTTAGTATCGGGTTTGTATAGCGTTCACATCGCTGCTTACAGTGGCCGCGTAACCGCTCTTACAGTATTAATAAATAATCATTTTAGGCTCCATCGAAGAAAATACAGATAGTAAAGGCACCGACATTGTATTGGATCTTACAATAAACCGCAACCATAACGGCTCGGTGATTTATTGCAAATTTCCACGCCATGCTATCATCGTGGAATTCGTGTATGAACCAAACAACCCATCACCAGGTATGTATTATAACCAAACAAAACATTATCATGTATGATTCAAATAGAGTTTAAATGCCGAATAGTGAGGTTCTTGCTAATTTTGATTTTTCAAAGAATTTTCTTTCTTCTGAAAACCAAAGGAATACTGATGAAAAACACTGCAGAGGTGGGAGATAAGGAGTCCGTAATTTATAACTACAGGGTGACGAGTGCAATGGCAGTGCCACCAGGGGCACGAATTGCTCCTCCCGTCATGATATTATATCAATGATTAAATTTGCAACGTTCTTTACTAAGAAAAATAAGAACTGTTTCCGAGTATCTTATAAATACTTTTGGGTCTGACCATCGAACTTCAAAGTCAGTCTGGCCTTCAGAGTTAAATGCACACTAAGGCATTACTTCCCTGAACTCTTTCACAGAGAGCTTTACTTCTGCTGATATCACTATTAATATAAATAACAAAGATCTTGTTACAGTGGACAATAGACCAAATCTGTTAAACGCGATTTCCTACGAAATAAAATCTTACGACATCGGCTTTGCTTGTGACACCAATACGAATATCACCGTCAAGGAAGGGCCATTAATGGTCAAGATTTCTGGGAACTACGATCTAGTGGAACATATTTGGTAAATTTTCTTTTCCTTTGTTTTAAACACAATCTGTATCAATCCTTTGATACGTCTGCTCTGAGGAGAAAATTATTGAGGAAGAGTTTTATCGGGTTCGACCTATCGTTATCCCGATTGAATAAATTAGTACATAAGTGAAAATATACCGAACAAAACAAACTGAGTTTCATGTCCTGCGTCTAGGTTTTTAGGTCTGAATAAATGCTCTGGCCATACAAAGGCGGTAGCAGTAGCGTTCCGGGCCCTGCCACAGTGAAACCGGGTGGCGATAAACTCGAACGAAAAGCTTCTCGCATTGATATCGTGCACCTTAATTCTTTTGCGTTGCTTCCGTAATGCTAATTAAAAGCAGAATTTCTTCGTGACCATTATCCGATAGCGAAATAGAGCTTTCTTTAAAATATGTGTAGAAAATTAAACATTGCTGCCTTTGATGTCACACCGGTCGCCTTCGCACCGCTGTGCCATGTGGATCTTGGGACTGCTGCAGGTACGACCCCGGACGCGTCTGTGTGGCCTGAATTCAAGCAATATCAACGAATTGTTCCCAAATTTGGGGATTTCCTCTACGATGTAAAGGTACTCAAGTACCAATAATAATTGTTCTCAGACTAGTGTATTATCCGCCATAATTGCCAGAACATATGACTAAGTTATATCCAGCATTACATTACTGTTAGTATTCTATTACAATAATTAAATATTTTAGGTGCCAATACACTGTATACGGAGCAGATGAAAAACCTAGAATATTTTTAACTCAAGACGATTTTTCTGAATATGAAAATCCAAAGGAAGCCATAACTATTATAGTAAGTATCTGGTAATGGATATATCATATTATTTGGTTTTCAATTCGGGACTTAATCGTGTATAAAAACATTCTTTTATTTACCTCTAAGTTTCGGACGTGATGCAACGTCCATGGTTTTGAAGGGACAGAATTCCTCGAAGAAGAATACCATGGACGTTACAACACACTCTGGTTGCGCACACATATGAGGCGCGTGTTATTCCGTGCGGAGTTACCGTGCTTGTTTTATTCTCTTATAGTTCATGATTGAGAGTATTAAGTTTTCAATGTACCATTGTTCTATTCCGCTTGTCCCTATCTACTACCAGAGAGACAGGGTTTTCCAGGAGAACCTCCCGGGTGAGACCAGGGGACGGCGGGTGTCTGGGCTAAGCCCTCCGCGAGTGACACGCCTTCACGGGCGTCTCTGGCGGACCCGGACTCTGGGTATGGACTCGCTGAAGTTAGAGGTTAGCTATAGGAATGAAAACGTGCGTCTGCCCTAGTAGCACGTGGCCGGGGCGCTCGTCTCGCGCGCAGCTAGCGCGTCTTAGCAGCGGTCTAGACGGGGGCCTAGCAAAGGAGACGCGCGGGACACGTGAGTTGTTCTTCACATTTGACACTGCTACAAGACATCTCCCGCACTAGCTCGGAGAGTCCCTCTAGCTGCGTAGGTTTCTTTGGCACTGGATAGACGCTTCGGCGTTGGGAGGAGAACGTGCCCACAGCTCCGCCACCAAAGAGAAGATTTGGTAGAGAACTTTAGAGTCTACAGCTTAACCGTTACTTTCGCAATATGCAACGGGAAGTCAGTCTTCAGCTCCGGTACCTATCTGGAAAATAGGGAGAGTGGGAGGCACCCGGGGCAGCTTACCCTCGGCACTAGCCTTTTGAGAATCGGATGAACTCTATGCATATGGGCTGGTCCGTGGTCAGCATCTGAGTGATAAGGTCCCTTTGCAGGCTTGCTTATACAGGTTATAGTGTCCTTCTCGCATATCCTTAGGGTCGGTAGGGAGGGGTCACTATAATCAAAACTTATGTGGAGATGTACGGGAATGTGTAATTTCTAGAATATGTCTCAATTGTTTTAGAATGCAAAAAACTTTGGGGAAAACAAAATGGAATGGAACTGCACCCTGCTTACGTGGAGAGGTGCCATGATGTATCCAACTAATGTATATTATTACGAAGACATATATTATTCAAGAATAACTTGCCTAGGAATAGTTCATATTGTTTGTAAGTTTTCATGACCAAACACTCGACTCACAACTCACAAAGTTACGCTTGTGTGGCCTCACTCTGAACCTGAAAATAGATAATAAATACTCATGCACATAAATGTACGGAAACGAAAAGAAAGAAGAATAATAGATAAATTGTCGTCACGATCTAGTGGGAAGGGTGCTGGTGAAATTACAAGCACATGGGACTTGTCAAAGGATGTCTCAGGGAGACGGGTGCAGTGGCAGTACCCCAACTGTTATGGATAGACGTGTTGCTTACCACGATTAGTTCGTCCCGTCTCGTTTCTTAGTACTATAAAAAAAAAAAGAAAAAAAAAAGGTTGAATTATATGATAACAACGCTCACTTTTATAGTACAAACGTTTACAAAAATGAAAACAAAAACGTTTCTGTTTCTATTATATTTTATGTTCAAAAGCGGTAGCAGAAGAGAACACACTGATCTTCAACGTGAACAACTACAACAATACATGTGAAAGTGTTGAACCAACGCAGAACTTCACAATTCAAGAAGGCAACACCTTAACTGTGAAGGGCTTTCATCTGTTGTCTGGAGAGGATTTTTACCAATTTTGGTAAGTTTTATTTTTAAGACGGTATTTCTAGCGGGTGTGTATATCATATAAATATATATTTAACCTAACCCTCATTCACTAAATACAACGAACGTGTAATATACTAACAATGTATAATTTCATTTTAAATAACAATCAAATAACGTCAGTTTACATAACTAAATATATTAGTAAACTAGATAAATTTACCTAAACATGTTCGGAAACACAAACACACTCGCTTCTGACATTCGCCGGCCGCTCCCGCGGCACTCTCGCTTCGTTTGCACGGTTCGTGCTACTCTTTCATATACGAACGTAACACGTTCCCTGCACATGCGTCATATGTGGTGCATTTCGATGTCCATACGATACGTGAGTGCATCGCATATGGGGCATGGTCCTTTATAAATGTAATCGTTGAACAAAACTTGCACGTGTTAGTTAGATCATCTTTATTTACTTGCACGTATGGACCACGAAAATTGTTACAATTAGCATGTGGTACCGGATGACTTTTTAATCAATGTTGCCAGATTATCACTGTCCAAATAAAACACAAAAAAATATTATATTTTTTTTTACTACAAATTAGAAAAGTCTATTATTGACTTGCATATATCGCACATGATAATAAAAACAAAAGGAGAATCAAACAATGTCAAAAAACCAAACAATAAAAATTAAAAAGCCGGGTAAGCACAACTAAAATATATATATTATTATAAAATTCAAAAACATTATTATGTTTTAAAAACAATAATATTCTGCTACAAATTTACTGTAAATAGACAAATCGCCAGTTTATAAATAAATTCGTTACCTGGAACGCACCTGGGTTCGATAGGTTAACTGTAAATTGACAAATCGTCATTTTATAAATATATGCCATACTGCTTTATAAACTACGCAGCACTTGGGTTAGTTAGGTTAGCTGTAAATTGACAAATGGTCAGTTTATAAATAAATGCGTCACTGCCCTATACACTATGCAGCACTTAGGTTAGCTGTAAATTGACAAATCGTCAGTTTATAAATAAATGCATTACCGTCTTGTACACTGTGCAGCACTTGGGTCAGTTAGGTTAGCTGCAAATTGGCAAATCGTCATTTTATAAATACATGCCATACTGCTTTATAAACTACGCAGCACTTGGATTAGTTAGTTTAGCTGTAAATTGACAAATGGTCAGTTTATAAAAAAACGTGTTACTGTCCTATACACTATGCAGCACTTGGGTTAG